AAACTGATCACTTTAAATAATAATGTGGTAACTCTGGAAATCAGATTTTCCTTTCTCCTAAGGGTTTAATGTTGCTGTTTAATGACTCTCCTGTACTAATTCGGTAAAGTTTGTATTCGTTATCTTGTGTGGCTACTGAAGTATCTGTTGGGTTACCTTAGTGATCAGCTAATGATTGATAGAGATTTCTTTAAATATCTGGAACCAATTAAGTCTCCCAGTTTTTGCTGATGGGCTCTTTGGGTGTGTTGGGGGCACATCAACACTCAAGCAGGCTGTGGACCTCTCTGCCTTAGGCTTCATTTTCTGCTTCTGCAGAGCCTCAAGATAAGCCCTTGGATGTACAAAGTCCTACACATAAACATGTCCTTCTAGAGTCCCAGAAACTTGTTGGACCTCTTTAAAGCCCCCTATGGACATCTTACTCCCAAACTTTTCCTTTTACATTTTTTTTGGTCAGCCTACTGTTGGCTCCAACTGCTAACCACCATCTCAGGCAGCGGCAAAATTAATCAATTGTCTTTTGGCCAAATGTCCCTCGGGAAAAAAGCTTTTTCACAACTGGCCAGCTCTGAGTTAGGTCAAATAAAGTTTTCTGGGAATGAGGCTTTGTATTTGCTTCAACCCTGCTCTGTGTCCTGTGGTTGCCAGGCTGCTGGTTTTCAAGGCTACCATAGAGCTGGGGGTCCATGGAGGGTGATAACAGGGAAAGTTAACACAACATAAAGCTGGCTATTCTTACAGAAATTAAGTCATTTTTCTTGAATGAATGCATCTCAGATTGCTGTCAGACTTTCTTAATTTTGAGTTCTGAAAAAGTTGATTCTGCCATTTTTTGCCAGTTTTCTCATTACTTTTATGAAAGGAAAAATTTTTGAAGCTCTTTACTCCACCATTTTGGCTAATGTTACCATGGGCTTTAAGTATTTAATATCCTTCCACCCCTTTTTTTCTTAACAAAATTATTTTAGTTAAGACAATGAAGCCACCACCATCAACACTCCTAAGCATTCACATGGTTCAAGCCCAATCATTTTATATTTAGCAGCATCTCTGAGATACAACCAAACTGGATACAGTATGAGTTTTAGAAAAATATCCACACCCAAAAATCAATTTTATATCTTTTTTCAAAAGGCAGACTCAGAGTCTTAGAAAATCATTTTTTAAAAACCTTCTTGGATTGTTATAAGTTCTCAAAATTGCTATGAAAAACAAAGCCTGATATTCTTTAACATAGATAGTAATGAGAATCCATGCTCTGCTGTGAGTGCAAAAAAATACACCCATCCCTTGCATGTCTCTTAATTTCATATAAAAATAATCCTCAAGGGCCCCGCCTTCTGCCTAGCCACCATACTGAGCCAGTGACACCTTCCTGTCTCCAAAGGGGCCATATAGTCATGTTTCAAAGACAGCATCCTAGGCTGTGAAGCGATCTCTTTTACTGGCCCAGGATAACGGTCAGTTAGCTATGATCAATCCCTTTCCTAGAGACACCTGTATTACCTTCAGATCTATTAGCTGCTAACATAGGGAGGTGCTTCCTGGGTAGGAACAGTGAGACTTGAATGATTTCTAGACAGACATAGGGCTATTTTCAAGAATAGAGGCTTTATAAAAATCCTCACTGTTTGAAGAGAAAGCAAGGTATTCACTAAGTTCCAGGGGAAAAGTAGGAGAGCCTCATTAGCAGCAAGCAGGAGTGAATGGAAACCATGAAGATAATAAAAGCATAATAAAATGGCCAGGGTTATGTGGGGATACATTTTTAAATGAGATTCTTAGAGTGTGCTTACAAGTCTGTGAAATGAATTTACATCTTAATATTTAATTACATCAGGTTCCATTAGTGTTGGCCCAGTTAGGAATTCATGTTCATGAATCATCTGAACAGAAATGTTTTGATTTCTGCTGAAGCAATGCATGGTTTTTAAGCTTTTTATGGTGAAGATAAGAATGTCTGATTTTTCAATTCGGGAAACATAAACCTGATTTTACTGTTAATAATTTTAGAAACTGTCTTTGAAACTCCCCAGAGATTAAAAAACGGTATAGATTTTAGGGAAAAGTATATGCAGGAGCTCATAAGCCAACTAGTGTTGAAGCATTTTTCCTTAGACTGCAAACATGTTAAATTGTAATGCTCAATGTGAAACAAAAGTGAGACGTTCACTAAACCAACCAGACAAGCCAGAGTATGAAAGGTTTTAGTGAGTGTCAAGTATGTTGACCAAAAGTTGTTTAAAGTAGTCCTCATTTTTCCTGAAGAGGAGGGCCAGATGGCAGACACAGGAGTTCATCACTCTTCTCTATCAACCACACTGGATCCTCCCCAGTCAGGGCTCTGCTGTGTATTGATCATTTTTTAAAATTTAAAAAGTGTGCTCAAAAAATAATGTTATTAATTGAAAATGTGGCTTTTAATCTACACAATGTTACATAATCAAAGAGTCCGGTATGGTAACAATTAGGCATCTTGAAGGACAATGATAGATAGGGTGAGCCACTTAAAACAGGCCTCTTTTGTACTACTTTATTTGAAGGCCAGGAGGCCCTGGGTGGTGCAAATGGTTAATAGGCTCATTTGCCAAATGAAAGGTGGGAGGTTCAAGTCCATCCAGGGGCACCGTGGAAGAAAGCCTGGTGGTCTACTTCTGAAAACTCAGCCACTGAAAACCCTATGGAGCACAGTTCTACTCTGACACGCATGGGGTTGCCATGAGTGGGAATACACTCGAATGGCAACTGGTTCTTTTTGTAGGAAGGCCAGTGCCCAACAGGCCACCCTGGAATTTTAGATTTACCCTTAACCACACTTCAGATCGCTGATGTTAATTTACGTGAATACATATTTTCTAAGTAGTTCAATCCCCCAACCTGTCCCATTTTTTGCATTACTAGCATCGCCACGAAATATCTTTCTACCTAGCGTAACTGTTGCTTAAGAAAACAACATATAATTAGCTTTTCTGTAAAGCTATGTAAACAATTAAAATATGTCACATAGGTGAATTTTCTTGTGTCTATAACACTCCTTATAATATCAAAAGGTTAAGAATAACATCAGTGAACCCAGCACAAAATTTCTATAATTAACAGCACCAGGGAAACCAAATTATAAATTGCATTTCTCACCAATGAAGCTCAGTTCTGCACCTGGGGTTAAGGCTGAGACTGCCCAAAGGTTGTAATGCCTAGCCCACTGCTGATGCTGAATGCACAGTAGTTTATAATAGGTACAGAAGAGCATGCTTGGGTTGTACGGGCCTTTGTAAAATTGCAGACAAGTCAAAACAAAAGGAAACCTGAATGTCAGCTTAGCACATTTCATAGCTCCATTTTAAGACATATGGTTGTAGAGGGTGAAACAGATCTTGCAATATATTTCCTGTCACTTAAACATGAGGTACCAGCCACTTAGGCCTGAATCACATTTATGAAGTTATGCCACATTTTCACCTGCCAACAACTTATGTACATGTGGAGGTTACAGCTAAAACTTCAATTATTCCAAAGGATGAAAGAACTGTTATATTTTGATAAAGATCTTCATTTCCTATTATCTTATGTGCCTTTGAAATGTTAAGGCTGACCAGGCCAAGTTACGAAAGGGACAAGTGGAAGTAAGAACAGTGCAAATGCTACCAGAACCTGCCATCATGTTCTGCCCTCATCACTGCACATGGAAACGCTGCGTTCTGGGCAGCAGGTGGTGAGACTGTGCGCAGATCACACATTTGTCAGTAACTATGTAGGATTTTTAGCACTGTTTGAGCCTAACATTACAGATTTAGGGCAGCTAATAAAATTCCCCAAATCAAATTTTCGACAAGTCTGAAAATTTTCGAAGATAGTTATTCTACCAAGCAAACCTTCTTGGTTCCCCTTTTAGTCCTGCCTTACAGAAAACTCTGTATCATCCAAAAAAAAAAAAACTCTTCACAGCAACCAGATGAACATCTGGTAGCAAAGCACCGTAAAATGCCACCCTTTCAAAGGAAGAGCACATACATGACTCCTGTCTTAAGTGCCTTTCTGTCAGGGCGTAATCATGTGCGCTTCCAGTTTATGGTCTTTCTGCACAAGTCCAAGGCTGAATTTGGAACTGCCTTTCCTGTATTTTCTCAGTGGCCTGGATAACAGTGTGTTAAGTACTTAAGAAATGCAGGGTCAAAATGAAGATAACCAAATGCACCATGTATTAAAGTAAATGCGCCCAGGTTGTACTTAGAATCATCCCCAATTAAAAATGAGTAGCAGAAATAGCTGAAGCCTATTTTTCACACGTAACAAAAACATTTCAAAGTCAATATAAATTTAATCATAAACCTACATAAAAGAACACTGGAGGTCACGTTTTGATGCGCTTTTTCTCCCCTTTTCTCATTATGTTGAAATGTTTAAATCTAGAAAGAAAGGGATCAGATCTTTCAAAGCCTCAAATATTCCTCAAACTCTTCGTATATTAAAAAAAATCTTACCAGGAAACAAAAATTTCAAAAATTAGTTTTCTGTAAATAGTCTTGTGTTTCATTTACAATCTATATTTTTGCTTTAAAAAACCCCACAAAAGTCTCTCCATGCCCTGCACAAACGTGTAAACAAGAATGTGACTTTCCAGAGGGCGTGGGCTCTGCGATACCTGCGTAGCCTCCACGGGAGCCTGACCTTGTCGCCAGCTCAGGCACCCACCCTGCTTTTCAGTACTGCTGAGGAGAGGGGCTGCTGAAACTCTTTAAAGACAAGCTGCCACTGGGGGAACCATGGATAATAACTTCTGGGGGAAATAATTCTCTGGGGAAAGACAGAGAAAGATTAGAATTATCACTGAAGGTATATGTGTTCAAAGGTTAATTTGGCAATTTGGCTGTATTATCAAATTATAGTTCTTCAGGGAACGGAAACCTGCTTTACACTAGATTTGAGGAGGCACACCAAACCAAATAGCTTGAGAAGGAGACACACGTAAAAAGAAAAACACAGAAAACAAAGGGTCCTTAATTTTGGGGGAAATATATTCCAACTTGGGTAGGGGGGAGGATGAAGGCTTTTTAGCTGCAAAGCTCAATCAGGACATTCCAGAGAGTTCTGCAGTCTCCTGCATTTGACAGGGCAGGATGGAACAGCCTGTTTACCCGGCTGGCCTCCCCTCCCCTCCTAGCCCACAAACAGTGTGCGGTAGCAGGTGACTGCAGTGTCAAGCTGGCGATGCTCCCGAGGGTTCTTGAGTGTTTATCAACTCAGTAGGTCAAAAGTCTGCAGACACCGGGTGGAGCAGCAGTAAGCCACAAAACTCACAGTTGTCCTCCTGGAAGGGGAAAAAAGGGAGAGAAAAACACTGTTAGCTCAAGATTAAGCCTCTGGATTCTTTCCATTAGAGACAGCATCTTTTTTTTCATTGTTGTTAAAATAAAGGACGAAGCATGGTCAAAAAACTACACAAAAGAAATGTAAATTTCCTTTTAAAAATGAGCTCTACAATCAGGTGAGGGTTGTGTGTGCATGCTGTGTCCATTTATTTAGCGGTTGTCAGGTGACACAGTATCCCTAAGTAAGCAGCTAGGGAAAAATAGGCCTTTTCCATGTTAAATTCTGAATTCTGCTGAGTAAAACCAACAATGCAATCACAGAATCTGAATTACATTATAAAAATCCTGTAACAGAAAATGTCATCAAATTTAGGTAGAACACAAGTATACTTATATGCAGAGGTTAATAATTTTAAGGGGTCTGTCCTACGAATGTATTCACATGGATTGTTCTTAGAGGTAATTTTAGAATCTGAATAATAGAGGTAGAGGGTCCTCATCCGATGTCCTCTCACATAGTGAGGAATCCCTTCTAGAACTCCTGTTTGGGTGCCTTTTGGCGGTGAGTCGTGAGGCCTATGGGGACATCTGGTCCACTCTGGATAGCTGCAGTCGTTCGACAGCTTGTTATCCCACTGAAAGTACTGCCCTCTGGCGAGGAGAGAATATGTCTACTGTTGGTTTCATACGACCCCTGTGCTAGTTTTCTATCTCCCCACCCTTTAATTCATTTTCTGTCCTTTTCTATGGCCCAGGGCGTGACTTCTACAGACTTGACCACCAAAGCTGCCTTGGTCTCTGGCTGGGTTAGGCCAGTGGGAGGCCCCAGCAGGAGGCTGAAGACAGAAAGGCTGAGTATTTCTGCCCTACTTCCTCTCTACCTCTATGTCTTCAGCTCCTATGGGGCAGGCCCCTTTCAAGCCCCAGTTCTCACCAGGCTCCAGATTTCCCTTTGCCCTTCAAGCCTAAGGACTACGGATGGTAACAGCTTCTTACTGTTGTGAATCCCAAGTGCCTCAACACCCCTTGTGGGTGCTCTGAACCCTTTCTGCAAATAGTGCTTCTTCATGAATTTTTCTTCAAAATCCCAGAAGAATGTGTATTTTGTTTTCTGGCCAGTCACCTGAATGATTAAATATGTGTTTCAAGGCTGACAATACAGCCAGAATACGGGATTGTGCAGCTAGGTTGCTCCATATTTGATGCGTGCACAAATGACCCCTTGCTAGGAGGAAACGGGACAGTGTTAACTGGCAGTGTGCTGTGAAATCACGATCACCCACAGTACCGCCTGGCATGAACGCCAGCGGAGGGGGAGCACTGGGAGATCAAGTGGCTGTGGAACTTGATTTCTGCGGCATCACAGTGAATTCAAAGACTGTGGGGCGACGGCTACTTCTGACTGTGCTGAAGAGATTTCCCAAAAAAGATAAGCTTAGGATCTTGAACTCTCAACTCAAGTCATGGGTAGAAAAACTAGAGACTATCTACGGTGGCCTTACAGAAATGCTTATTTTATGAAGCTGTAGGAGAGACGTGGTAGGTCCTCAATACACAGGCTGCAGAGCTGCAATGCCAGTTAAAGGCACATTTATGCTGAGTCTCTTTGCCAAGGTAAACCTGCTGGTTGGGAAGGACTGCAAATCTGAGGCTCGAGATGGGAACCTTTGGACAGACACAAAGCTGAGAACCTTGAATGTCTAACACCTCTAACTAAACATTTCCTGACATGAGAAACAGCCCTTCCCATCTTCTAAGAAAACTAGTATTTCTTTGCATAAAAATATTTTGATGACTTAGGAATACCTAAGAACCCACCTCCAACAACACTCATTTCCTCCAGGGCCATAAAGAGTGTAAAATTCCAGCATGTACAGAGAGAGGATCATAAGGTTCACTCCAGGGGAAGATAATGTACCTGCTAAAGGAGTCGCAAGATCTTGCCAAATTTTATTAGCAGAAACCTGGAGTGCACGCGTGGAAATGGATTCTATGAGCCACTGGGGATAAATACAAGATTGGGTAAGGCCAACAAGGGTGCTTCAGGATTTAATGTTAGCTTGATCACCTGGGAGTGACTAATAGAAGGTTTGACTCAATAGAGGCCTACAGTCAATTTGACAGAGATGCTAGAACTCCCTCTGCATATTCTAGAGGTTGGAGACCCAGTGCTTAGAGAAATGGGAACACTGGAATGGATCTATTGTGGTGAAAATTGCTCAACCACCCTTTGAGACACCCCCAGGAGGGCCAGAAGAACATTCCCTTCATTAAGGCATTAAGAACTGTATTGGTGAGGGGAATACAAGCTGGAAGTAGCAAGCACCAACTGTGGAAGCCTTAATAAGACACCTACTAGAGATGGGAGATAAACCCTGCAAAAGTTCAGGTGCCTGCCTCACTGGCGAAATTTCCAAAGGGAAGGAAAAGTTGTACCCAGAATTTCCCACATGAAGAAATAAAGCACTCTTGGTGGGTCACTATGGATTTTGGAGGCAAAATATATTTGGGTGGAAATTTCCAGTTTTGCCAAGATGGAGTAGCCCCAATTGTCCCAGTCCTCACTCTTACAAATAAAACACCTTGGACATAAACACCACAAACATCAGAAGATCTGAAAAGTAGAAGGAAGGTGGACAGCCTAGGGACTTCAGGATTTGAGGAATAACACTGTGGTAAGTATCCTAGTCTTCTTTATTGCCTCTCAAATGTCACAGACAAGATGCTGCAGAAGCCATCAACCCAGAACCATCAGGAGGCAGAGACCAAAAAAAAAAAAAACCTCCAAGAAAAGCCTGTTCACCCTAGCCAAAAGACGAGGAAAAGGGTGACCTAACAACAGAAAATCCTTCTGGCAATAACCACCCTACTGCAGCCAAACAATGGAAAAACTTCATCCTCTAATTCCCTGGTTTCAGTGGGGCCAAGCAGGGAGTTGATCTACTTACTCCCTGGCTCCGCAGACGCAGATGATGCACTCTGATTCCCCTGGCATTCGTGGGGATGAACAAGGAGCTTATCTTCCATTTCCCACCTGGCAGAGGCAGGTCATGCTCCAATCCCCCAGCTGGGTGGTACTGGTGGGTCAGACAAGAAGTTGACCTTTTACCCCCGACCCAGTGGAAGCATGTGGTGCTTCCCCACCAGGGTAGTGTCAGTGAGGTCTAGTAGTGAGCTGAGCCTCCAACTCCACATAGTAGCAATAAGACTTAATGAGGCAGTCTGAGGTGGGGCTAGTGAGCAAGCACTCCCATTCCCCTCTTCCCCCTCCACCCCACATCATCAGCGTCCAGTAGAGGAAGCTGAGCCTTGACTCCCATCCGGTATCAACCAGGCAGAACAAGGTGGTGTGAGGAAGGGCTAGTTGGCAAGTTGCTTTCTTCCCCTGCCCTCTCCTGGTGTCAGAGGAGTCCAGCTAGAAGATAAACTGCTGATCCACTTTGCAACAATGAGGCGGTGTGAGTCAGCGCTCCACGTTCACTGAGAAGTTGCCAGTGGAGTCAAGTGGGAAGTTGAATTTCTATCCCATCTATCTGCAACAAGGCAGTGTGAGTTAGTACCTACTTTTGCGAGATGGTGTCAGCAGACCTAGCAAGAAGCTGAACATACACTGCTCCCCACCCTGTCAGTGCTAGCATTAAGCCTCAACAGGGGAATGACTGATAATTAAATAGGATCCAGAGTCTCGTAATATATGTCCAGGATACAATTGAAAATCACAACCTGAATGAGAAAAGACAATCAACATACTCCAACAATGAGATGAATCAGACTTTGGAATTATCTGATAAAGATTTTTATTATTTATTTTATTGTATGTTAGATGAAGGTTTACAGAACAAACTAGCTTCTCATTAATCAGTTAGTACATATATTGTTTTATGACATTGGTTAACCACCCCATGACACATCAGTACTCTCCCTTCTCGACCTTGGGTTCCCTATTACCAGCTTTCCTGTCCCCTCCTGCCTTCTAGTCTTTGTCCCTGTGCTGCTGTGCCCCTTTAGTCTCGCTTTGTCCTATGGGTCTGTCTAATCTTTGGCTAAAAGGTGAACCTTCAGAGTGACTTCATTACTGAGCTAAATGGGTGTCCGGGGGCCATACTCTCGGGGTTTCTCTAGTCTCTGTCAGGCCAGTAAGTCTGGTCTTTTTTTGAGTTAGAATTTTGTTCTGTATTTTTATCCACCTCTGTCCAGGACCCTCTATTGTGATCCCTGTCAGAGCAGTCAGTGGTGGTAGCCGGGCACCATCTAGCTGTACTGAACTCAGTCTGGTGGAGGCCATGGTAATTGTGGTCTATTAGTCCTTTGGACTAATTTTCCCTTGTGTCTTTAGTCTTCTTCATTTACCCTTGCTCCTGAAGGGGTGAGACCAGTGGAGTACCTTAGATGGCTACTCATAGGCTTTTAAGACCCCAGATGCTACTCACCAAAGTAGAACGTAGAACATTTTCTTTATAAACTATGTTATGCCACTTGAGCCAGATGTTCCCTTAGACCATGGTCCCCACAGCCCTCAGCCCAGTAATTTGGTCCCTAAGGGAGTTTGGATTTTTCCATGGAGCTTCCATGACTTTACTCTGACCAAGTTGTGCTGGCTTCCCCAGTATTGTGTACTGTCTTATCCTTCACCAAAGTTACCACTTACCTATTGTGTATTTAGTGTTTTTCCACTCCCACCACTCCCCTCCCTTGTAACCATCAAAGATTGTTTCTTTTTGTGTGTAAAACTTTTCTTAAGTTTTTATAGTCGTGGTCTCGTACAATATTTGTCCTTTTGTGATTGACTCATTTCACTCAGTATAATACCTGCCAGATTCATCCATGTTGTGAGATGCTCCACAGATTCATCACTGTTCTTTATTATTGCATAGTATTCCATTGTATGCACCATAGTTTGTTTATGGTGTGTATGCACCATAGTTTGTTTATGGGCATCTAGGTTGTTTCCATCTTTTTGATATTGTGAACAATGCTGCAATGAACATGGATGTGTATA